GATGACCTCCTTTCTCCTCCTCTCCTCTGTCAAATGGTCCCGCTAGGATCAGCGCTCCCAGGACATTCACCCACCCATTCCCACTCTCCCTCACACCGTTTCCTGCTTCTTGGAATGCAGATCGCTGAGCCGAGCGCTCCAGATTCCAGAGGAAATGAGGTCTCTGTCTCACCAGAGGGCACCAGCACCTCTTTTCCAACTCACGCAAGAAAGCAGACGGGCACCTGCTCTGGACTGGCACAGGGTGGAGATCAGAGGGGCCTGGATTCTCCCTCTGCCTCCCCAGAACAAAATTTCGTCTTAAAACTCCAACACTTTCTCTGATTTTCCACTCAGGAAGGAACCTCCAGAACGGCCTCGGATTGTGGGTCTCCCTGAAGCTGAAAGCTCTGCCTGAAAACTGCAAGGGCCGATGAGGACGCAGGAAGGAAGGGCCGTGCCAAGGCCAGTCCACCAGGAGTGCCCTCTTCTCCTAGCGAGTGGATCCCAGACCGCGGGAGGCAGGCAGAGCAGTTCAGGCAAGCAAACAGCGTTCTCCCTGTCCACTGGCACATTCCAAAAGCAGGGGGACGGGGAATACCTGTACAGAATAGATCCCCTTCTCTTCCACTCCTCCACAACCATAGCACAGGATCTCTGAATCTAACCAGCCAAGCTTCTAGTTCTGTGGAAGGCCTGAGAATGAATAAGCATGGGGCAGGAGCCAGAGGGCCTGTCCCTCCAGGAGGTGGACAGGAGACATTTCGCAAACGCAGGAACTCTTACCCCTCGCGTGACTGACCTTCGCCGCTTTTCGATCTCAGGGGAAGCCAAGCCGTTTGCCCACTGAGACCCAGACAGCCTGCTCTCCTCCTGGAGAGAAAAGTCAACCTTTTCTACCCCCAGAGCGGAGCAACCTGCTCCCCCGGGGACAAGACCCCAAGCCAAGGTGGGCTGGGATCTCAGCAGCTGAAGCCCGACACAGCTCCTGCTTTCAGCACTGGTCTCCTGGGGTCTGCCCGGCTGGCCGTGCCTCTTCCGCCCAGCTAGCTGCCACCATCTGCAACGTTTTATTCCTTCCCAACCTCAAAGTCAGGTCTTTTGGCCTACTGCGCAGATGAATCTGAGCCAAGACCATGCCAATGACCTAATTCATCTTGCTAATGAAGTACTGTGACTCGAACATCTGTTTTCTCCCCTGCAGTTGGGAGGGGAATTATTAAAAAATGATCAAATCTCTCAGCACGTCACGCTTCCCCCTCCACCTGCCACATGACAAGCGGACCCAGGCGGTCGCTGGCTTTGACAGCAAAGTCCAGGTTGGCTCCCCAGACAGCTGGAAAGTTTCTGGTTGGGCTCCCCCGCCGGAAAGGAGAAAGGCCACTGGTGAGCTTCAGTTATCTGCTGGGGTGGGAATCCTACTTGTCCACCCGCCTTCCCCGGTGCGGCACAGCCAGACTCCAGGCAAATTCTAGGCCAAGAGACACCGCGGCACCGCTTGACCTGGAAGTGTGACTCCTGGGCCCTGGAGACTGGCAAGGCTGCTGGCAAAGGGAAACCAGGGCCGCCCTGCTTCAGATGGCAGGGAACGCAGGGCCCGAAGCGGGTGGGCAAAGTCCTCGTTTTGGGGGCTGCGGTCTGCCTGAGAGGAGGGTC